GAGGAATCCTACTTCAGGGTCAGGTGTATGACTACCTTTCCCCCTACTGGCGCGTGCGCTACACTGACGGGAACTGGGAGGAGTTGTCCAGACGCGAACTGGAAAGACTTTCGAGATAGCCTTGGGGGGAGGGATTTCGAGCTAGTGTGATTGCTGGACGATGGGGATGCGTGGGGTTAGTGAGACCGTCTGCGGGTGATCATGGATGTCCGTACAAGATTCGGTCAATCGTATGTACCATGGATAGTTTTTGACCGTTGTTGATAAGAGTCTCTTTTGTTCCGGTTTTTAGACTATGCATGTCCACTTGATTTTTTAGAATTGTTGATAAGAGTCTTTTGTTTCGGTTTTTATGCATGTCACTTTGATTTTTGAGTGCGCCACCCAGTTGAGGTTCGGTAAAGCTTAACTGCTCTGAGACCGTACTAGCCAGATGTCCGGATCTGATTTGCAATCGAAGGGTGGGTCCTGCCTCCGATAGCACCCACGAGGGTTTGTTTTGTGTGCTCGTCTGGTTTGCAGTCGAATGGTGGTCCTGTGCCCGGTATCGCCCAAGAGGGTTTGTGCTGTTTTGCCGTGGCTTTTGATTGGGTTCGGTGTTGTAGGTGCTTTACGCAATAGGCTTTTTCCTGGGTGGCCAGGTTGTTTCCGCGCTGCAGGTGTGGAGAGCCGGAATGCAACTACAGTGAATTCACCAAGCGAGGGACGGTTTTTTGTTTGAGTATTTTACGTCCGAGTGTCACGTGGTGTTTTCGGTTGTTAAGTCTAAATTCTAGGGCTCTCGGGATGGGGAGCGAAGAGTTTGTCCCGGAGGCCGGGTTTTCCTTCGCGCAAGTCGATGTCGGCCCGTGATTCAACGCGCAGTGAGAATTATGAAGAGGAGTGGATTTTATTTGGGTTATGCCACTATTCACCTCTCGTAATTTTCGGTTGAACGTTCAGCCTACTCAAAGACATTGCATGGTAGTATTCTAAAAGGAAGTGTGTCACTTTGCGGTTGACAAATTTCCTGCTACCGTTCATTAGCATGTGACAGCTGACAAATAGCTGTTCATGCTAATGCCGGGATGTTACGATTACATTGTTACGGTTGATAGGAGTTGCACCCTTGGGAGAGTGCGTTATTCCCAACAGGTACTAGCAGTAAGGTCCGGTTCGTCGGGCCCCGTCTAGAGGCTAGGTTGTTCGGTCCCCTTGCCTTCACTTGACTTGACTTCTCCATACTACTTGTCCTAGCTTGCCCTGAGTTAGCAATTATCAACAAGCGAATACCGTATCCACGACGGGAGACCTTCCACTCCTTGTCACAAGCCACCTTCGAAGCTCACTTCTTCAAACGATGTTCCGGCTCATCTACCGAACTCGGTACCGATCGAGAGGTAGCTACCATCAGGTCGGTAGCAGTGCTTGTAGGCTGGGGTCCTATGTACAATCCTCTGTGGACAATTCCTCTTGACACCCAGGGTCCTGTCACTTGAATGGTTGGAGACCACACAGACCCACACAGACATTGGGCCAGCCCCTATCCCTAGCCTCTCCATCCGTTTTAGATGCGCGGGCCTCCAGGCCGTAGGTGTAGGCAGCAATGCCCATTTCATCTTTGTGCGCGGAGGCAGACGTCATCAGAAAGGTGGACGGGCCCTATGTACACGGCCCTAGGTTTGCTGTCGGGAGCTGTACTGTCTCAATAACCTGGTTTTGCCATCAAAGAAGGACGAGACAGGTGGTGACGAGCTGCTTGGGCTGGTTGACCCTTCGGCGCGAGATTTTTTAGACCAAGAACCCTAAGTGCAACGATGGAGAAAGCGAGGAACCGACTGGGATGGACAGCAACGAGAGCGTGTACGAAGCGGAGCGGGTCGAGTTTGGTCGTGCTAGGACTGGCCACAGCGGCACCGGAGCAGCGGAACCGGAGCATGCGGACGGCATCGAACCGTGGCGCACGGACAAACATCCCTTGTGTTGTCAATTATCTTCCGTTTTTTCCCTAAATATAGGTGTTGGGTGTGTGTGATGACGTCACTGGTTTTGTAGAGAGACGCGGCAGAGATGGCGCGGATAAACCGGGTGCCTTAACCCTTCTGGCCCTGGGCTCCTCGCCGCCAAAAAAAATGACTAGCCTGGGACTGTCAGCAGTGTGTGGGGTTGGCCAATCCGCACGCACCAAAAAGTACAGGCTGTGTGCCGATGTACTTCTGGCGCAGCTGAGCCCTAGACGCCCAGGGGCTGTCCCGCGACCCCGCGACCGGCTCAGCACTTCAGTATGGACACTAGAAGGGGTGCCTGTCGATTTCCTCCTCAAACACCAACGCTGTTCACCTCTCCAAAATCGGCTGATCAGCCTTCAGCAGTCTATTTTCAGTACACTTGAGTGATCATTTTTTGCTTGCTAATTGACCATCTGAGTGATCATTTTTTTCCCGGCGAAGGGTTTCATGCCCGAATGTACTTCTGTACTTTTTACGGGCCCCCCGCGCCCACCCACCCCCTACGGCCTTCGGCCTCCCTAGCGAGACAGGCAGCCTTTCTTTCGGGGGCAGCGATGAGCAGTGGAGCGAAGCTCCGGAGTCTTATGTGTCGGTGTGTTGGTATGTAGGTGCTGCTGCTGTAGCAGCGCACCGTTCCCTCACAAAAATAAAATAATGCGCGTAGGCTACAGCAACAGCGTGTGCAACCTACATGTAAACACGTAGTCTAGCTCTCTGCTGGCGAGCATGGTGGGCAGGCAGCGCATATTACTGCTGTACTACATACTATACATATACATAGTACACCAGGTGCGCTTTGCATACAGAGCGCGCAGGAATCGCGCTTGCGAGAGCTGCGAGGGTGAAGAGAGCTCCCAGACAGGCTGCGGCCCTCAAGTGCCTTGCATAACCCGCCATGCACCTGCCAGCGTACCCCGACGCGGCGCTTGTGGGCGTGTGTGCACACCCTACGTGCTGCAGACCTGCAGGTCTTTGCAGCAGGTGTTCTGCCTGCTATATAACTCCCTTGCATTTGGATCGGGGTTTTTTCCTCATCATCCCCTGTTCGAGGAGACCGGGCTACTGAGCCACAGTGATAAAAAAAAATGATCAAAAAAAAGTGACGGAAGCCCCAGAAGGGTTAATGTGAAGAAAAACAACAACAGCAAACAACCCGAAAAGTTTGGAAGAAATCAGGACAAGTTTACCGCTGGGTGAACCCAGACGACATAATCGGCGAGTGCGACCTGAGTTCTTGACGTATCGCTCCCACCCAGGGCTCCCGGCAACCCTACGCTGAAGGGCTTGCTATTCTGCATGCTGGCTGTTGATGGTCGCTCGGCACGCGTGCGTAAAAAAACATATCGCACCACACCAAGCATGGAGACGCCGAAACAGAACCACGAGACAGCAAAAAGAGCCGCTTTTCGTCAGATAAGGGAGGACACTGCAACGGATTTCTCGCTTCCTAGGCCACCGATCGAAGCCAGATCGGTCAGGGCGTGCTCTCTGTTCCTTGCTCTCTGCCGGAGTAGAGTTGTTCAGTAGCTCATTGATCCAATCATTCGAAATCGTCGTCTGCGTGTACACAAGCACTCTGTAACTGTTCCCAGGCCTTCAACACATCAGATTACTCTATTCTCAAGTGAAGCAGACCAGAAAAAAATCACAGTTCGAGGAAGCAACGGGCACCACGCGCATGCTTGTCTCCGTCGATCGAGAGTATGCGCTGCCGAGAAACTCTACTTCGGCAGAGAGCAAGGAACAGAGAGCATGCCCTGACCGGTCTGGCTTCGATCGGTGGCCTAGGGAGCGAGAAATCAGTTGAGGTGTCCTTCCCTCTCTGACAAAAAGCGGCTCTTTTTGCTGTCTTGTGGCGGTTTGGCCTGTTTCGGCGTCTCCCATGATTGGTGCGATGATATATGTTTTATTACGCACACGTGCCTAGCGACCATCAACAGCCAGCGTGGAGAATAACAAGCCCTTCGGCATAGGGTTGCTGGGGGCCCTTGAAAAAAGCGATACGTCACGAACTCAGGTCGCACTCGATGATAATGTCGTGTGGGTTGATCTACACCCACCCACTGATAATCCGCCTCAGGAATTCGGCTCACTGTACGGACGGCCGGACGTTTTTCCAGCCGGATTTCTGCCCATCCTGAAAAGTGGTCATTTTTGGGAAAGGAATCCAAGTGAATAAGAATCAGCCTTAGGCTGATTCTTTACCCTCCTACAGTAGTACCCAGTCCCTCCGCAAAAACGAAAGCCGAAAAAATATTTGTCAGCCATTGGTTGAGGGCTGACAGCCCCTCCAAGAAATCTGAGCTCCTTGCCAGACAACGGGTGACTTGGCTTCACTATGAAAAAAAAACACGTGGGGACACTTTTATGCTGAAGCCAAGTCAGCAATTCTTTCCAGTACCAGGCGATGTACCGTATTGCGAACTGGGGGGCACCCGGGTTGGGAGATGTGTAGCAGCAAGTCAAAGGCCCGGGAGAGACATCACACAGCATATCGGACAGCAGCCAAGCATGATAGACCAAGGGTTCTGACGTACGTTGCATACAGCAGACAGAGCGTAGGGTGACTACAGTGCGGTAAACAGGCCTTGGAGTGCTGTGTCGCAAAGTGTCCCCAAAGTGTCCCCATTTGGGCTCCCAGTACTAGGTGGGTTGAGCACTGATTTTCTCGACGATTTGTTTTTCCTCGCTCTCGGGGGGGGGGGGGTCTGCNNNNGGGGGGGGGGGGGGGTCTGCACGGGAAAACGTATCCAGATCCAAGCGACCTACTACGGTTCCTCGCGGTATACTTCGAAGTATTAATTCTTGTTTTCTTTCGAATTGCTTCATTATTTTTCTTCGGTTTCCAGTAGACACGTTGGGGAGTGAGACACACGGAACATCCGCCGTCTCGCCAGCCCCGTTAACTACAAGGCGCGGCGTTGACTCTTTCAAACCTGTCTCATCCTGCAAATATTACCAGCCGGGGGGCTACGACTGCAAACAAACGTAGGAGTCCCGAAACCGACCAAGCCCCAATGGTACACACCGTTCTACAACACCCACATCGAGGTCGTTTTCCTGACAACTACGGCAGAAGTCGGCTATTTTTTTACCCCATACAGTTCAATCTCCCGGCTGACTCGTTGCTGCTGCCCGTCCGTGAGTGCCAACACATACGTCGCAAGTCGTCTACGATATTTCGATTGCACAGCTTGTATGCATCCGCCTTCACTGTTCCTCTCTCAGAATTTCAGGTACTGAAATGTCTCCGCCTGAACCTGAAGTCTTCACCCTTTCAATCTGTCAAAGTAATTCCACTTGAAACCCCGGTTCGCGATCGTACCCCTAGCCGCCCGGGGGCAGCGCTAAACTTCAGAACTCTTACTGATCGACCAAAGCCTACGAAGCCAACGGCACGGAGCCATGTAAACGCCGCAGGACACGACAACAACTCCACCACAAGATCAACTGCACCGCTGTTTGCTCTCACGCCCTTTTTGCGGTCCGTTAACTTCGTCTCTGCTTATCGATAGTGACTCAACCTTATCTGATTCGGTCTTCTGACGGTCCCGTTATCCGTGTTCTCTCTCTGCTGCCCGAGGCAGTCCCTCCTTCCCCAGCTACGCAGATGGGCACCCCTATACGCCGGTTCCATGGGTGAAGAAATCGGTGGCCTTGGGCGTCGGACCGTCCGCTTCTGCCCAGCGCGTCCTGCCCCCAGCCCCCTTCCCCGTTGCCGTATCCGGCGGTGTCACTACTATCCCTGTCTCCCTGTCTCTGGTGAAGACCCCTGCCTTCGCCTCCGCCCCCGAGCTCGCACGTTCGTCTTCCGCCGTGGACCCGCGGGTGGCTGTTTGACGGCGATAGAAGCTGGTGCTCGCCCCATAACGGGCGATGCTACACTGCCGTGCCGACCCCCGCCCCTGCCGATGAAGTGAGACGTCTTCGTCTGCTCGATGCTGACCATCGTCGGGAAGTCCGCCGTGACGGCTGGCGGTGCGAGGTGGGTGGGTTTGAAGCGAATGACGGCGTCGAAACACTTCGATGCAAAAGCTGTGCAGTTGTCGGTGATGAATGTCGCGGACCGGGATTTGCTCAAGTCGATCCGCACCTCGTCGAGGTGCTTGCGACAATACTCGCGAACCGTTACCAGTCACAAAATGTGGCGTTCTGCAGCAGCGGAGGTGGCGGTGCTGCTGTAGCTCGTAGACTTTGTAGTCTACCACAGAGGTTACACTGCTGTCACCGCTCTATCACAGAGGTTAGTCTACACTGCTGTGAGATCGGTAGGCCCGAGCGAGCTTCGGAAAGAGAAATGTAGATAGATGTTCTTATCAACTGACTCCCTGGTCAGGCTTTGATGGGTGCAAGATGAGAGTAAGCACAAGGGGCGAAGGCGCGCTTGTATCTCAGCTCAACAACAAAACAAAAAACAAGCAGCAAACACAGCAGGTTCCAAGGGTCTCCGGGCTATTGGCCCGAGTACCGGAATTTCGTGGTTCGGAACACGGTTCGGAACAATAAAACGACTACAACAGTCTCGCCTGCCAAAATATCTCCGCTACAACTCTGTACTCATGTTCTCTGCTAAGTACCATCTCTTGTTTCTGTATTATGTCTACGGAAGGCTAGTTGCCGCTGTCGCACCTATGGTAAACTGTGCCTGACTACGTTGTAACAGTTTTCCTCGACACGACCCCTCGATTAGGCAAGTAGCCGATGTTCCAAAACTTCACTTCGCTGCCATTTTTGCGACCCCTTGATATCCAATCCATTAGAGAATACTAATATTACCTAATCAGGATCTTTAAGTTTCAAGGAGATCAGTCTGC